ACATAGTTCAGGTACAAGACTGAAAATAGATACCTAAATACTATATGTGAAACAGCCAGCTTGGTGTAGTGGTTAAGGCATCAGGCTAGAAACTGGGAGACTGTGAGTTCTAGTCCTGCTTTAGGCACAAAGCCAGGTGAGTGACCATGTGCCAGGCACTCTCTCTCAGCCCTAGGAAGAAGGCAATGTCAAACCACTTCTGAAATCTTCCGAAGAAAACTGCAGGAACTTGTCAACACTGACTCAAAGGTACAATGTGCACGCATGTGTGTGAAAGATTTCACCAGCTTGATAGTTCTTTCATTTATCTAGCCAACGAGTTGAAGTGTTTTGTGGAAAATACCAGGGCGTAGGGTTTTGAGTGGTTTATTTCAAGGCATTTTCTACTGCAATAGGCCGATAATGCTCTAAGACATTATGCAGCCTGTTTTGATATAGAGAAAATGGCTGCATCATCCACATATAAAAGATGAGGCAATGGGAAAGAGAGGGAAGATGGCAAAAATCTCAACAATATAGAGATTAAACAGCAAGGGGGCAAGTATGTATCCTTGCCTGACCCCCTTATAAAAGGCTCTGTTAGGTTCTTATTGCCACTATCCTAGACCTGTGATGGTGCCTCAGTGGAATTGTATAATCAATTTGAAGAGACTACAATCAATCATGAGGCTGCTAGCTTCTCCAGAGTTTCTCTCAGGTATAGAATCAAAAGCTGCCTTTAGATCTATTAAGGAAATGTGAAGGGCTCCATTTGGGAGATGATAGTATTTCTCTGCTAAATAGTGCAGAATTATATACTGGTTCATTGTAGAGCAGTGTTTCTCAACCTCAGCAACTTTCAGATGTGTGGATTTCAACTCCCAGAATTCCCCAGCCAGCCATGTCCACACATCTTAAAGTTGCTGAGGTTGAGAAACACTGTTGTAGAATTGTATAATCTGGCTGGGGAATTCTGGGAGTTGAAGTCCACCCATCTTAAAGTTGCCAAGGTTGAGGAACCCTGTTGTAGAGTGTCCAGATATTCTCAAAGTACAGCCAATCCGAAAGTTTAGGACATAAAAAGCTGGCATATAGTTTACTAATTACTAAAAGAAGACTAAGTGGGCAATAATTAGCAGGACTGCACCTGCTAATTTTTTATATATTGGGAGAGTAGAGGAATTAAGCTATTTTTTGAGCAACTGCATATCCTGAAATGAATAGGAACACTTCACACAGTAATGTTTTGTTGCCACTCCTACTTTTTGAGAAGAATATTACTTTTAGAGACTTCTCTAGAGGGAAAATCTATGCTTTACATCTGCACAAGTGTTCCTCAAGTCTGATTCATATATAGGAATGGGGGATGAACTCTAGGGATGTGCAAATCTTACTGTTCCAGAAAAAAGATAGGTTTTCTGCATATCTAATTAACACAAAGCTTTATTCATCGAATTTTAAGAGTGTCCAGACAATATTGCGGGGACGCGGTGGTGCAGTGGCTTAATGGCACTGAAAGTTGCAGGCCAGAAATGGCTGAAACTTCAGTGGTTCGAGCCCAGCTCCACGCAGCAGAGTGAGCTCCTGCTTCCTCCCCAGCCCCTGCCAACCCAGCAGCTCAAAAACTTACATGAGTAGATAAATGGGGACTCTCACCCCGGTGGGAGGAAAAATGCTGGCGACGCCTTGCAAAGGAGACGGGAGCAGTTGCCGGTAGCGCGGAAGCCGCACACGCCCAAAAAAGGCGCAAAGCAACGGAAACCCCGCCTCCTGCGCTCGCCAGCTGGGCTCTGCTCTA